CTTCCGGCCCGTCCCACCAAAAGTCTTGTCCAAGGGACACCTTGTTCAACTCTCGCCATTTTGAAGAAAGATTATCGTAACTTGACCTTGCAAAATTGATTGCTTTTGAAAAGAGACATGCATAGTAGAGAAATAAAGAATCTAGCTTCTAAACGACAATGTAAGGAAGCAATTCCGTGACGATCACCACTCGATTGCAAAGTTAAGGTCTTGTTGGAAAACCTGAAATTTGCTTCTATTTCTTTCTTGCCTTCCTTCTTTTTCTTTTTTCACATTATTCATATCAGCACTGGCATTCCTATGAGTCAAACAACAGTGACGTTAAAGCTGTCTGGAGTGCTCCTTTCTCTATCAACTATTATGAGAATATGAAATGTTTGGGAGAAAGCAGTTCATAGAGGTGTGTTTTAGATATCATTACTCGAAGAAAATTTCCTTGCAAAAATTTCTTTCAAAAACAAAAGTCGTGTGCTTCGTGCAGAAGGACGTCTCAATAGTCATGTGACCGATCTATTTGATAAATAAAAAAACTTATTGAATTAGTGCTAAAAATTTCCCGCGTAGTTTATATTCATTAAGAAAAGGTGTCGTCAAGAATATTCCACGAATTAGACTACTGTCTCAAATCTTGTTCTTTAGCGAAAAATAAAGGCGCTATAAACCTTTGGAGCAACCGATACTCTAAAAAATTATTGTTCTGCCTTTGCGATGTGAACTCCCTAGAATTGCTTTCAAAAGGGAAATGGGTACAATGTCATGTTAGATGTTTGATACTTTGGAAAAATTCCAATGACAACGGGCGTGGCTTCAAAATTCTCAAGGATTCTGTTTCAACATCTCATTATGTGATGTAAATCTCCATATATGTAGGTGTAAGAGTTCGATAGCTACAAGGCTTTTTTTAGGTGTTTTTGCAAGAATATATAGAAAGCTAAGAATATCGCTCTTAACCTTCATTGTTTATTACCCATCTAAGATTTTGTATGGGCTAAGTTGCTTAGTTTTTGGCAGAGGATAAGAGCACAGCTTTTTACAAATTACTCTTCTTGGGGGATTTGCATAAGTATGTAAGCCATATGATCGCGGTTTTCAGAAGCAACCGATGAATGGAGCCTTCAAGTCACAAACTGATCCTTGAACCCTTTCTGAGAAATTTATGCTTCCTTTATGTCTCTTTTCCGGGAAATAACCATTTTTGAGAGTTCTCTAAATGCTATTCTGCAGACAGGAACCAGAATGAAAAACAATTCTTTATTAGATTCAGTAACTTTCGACTTAGGCGGCGACACGCTTCTTCTTCTTCTTGTCAACAGGCTTGGCATCCTTGTCGCGAGTAACACGAACCTTATCACGAGTAACGCGGGCTCCACCACGACGTGGGCAAGGACAGTAGTTGGCGTCTCTTCCAAGGCCACCAGGCTGTCCTGGACTACCGGCTGAACCCTGCATTCCGGGTAATCCGGGAGGTCCTTCTGGTCCAGGTGGACCAGGTGAAGAACCACGAGCTTCGTTGCCAGGTGGTCCTGGCATACCGGGAGGTCCGGCTTCTCCAGGAGCTCCGGGTGGTCCTTTTTCGCCGGG